ACCATTACTCGTCGCAACAAATAAGATTTCGGAAGAAGCATGGACAGCAATGCTGACGCAGCCACAAAGCTGTCACCGCGATGGCAACGAATACCTACTCCCAATGGAGCCCGATGTCGTCGACAACATCATCGATGATCACCTGAAGGTAATCAGAGACCTGCTGACCTCTCTCCGCACTCTACGCTCGAACATCTTTGCTGAGGAGCGCACAGAAGAAAAGAACTTCAACGAAATGGTACTGAGAACCCTGCAATCGATCCAAGGCAGAGTCGAACAAATCCAAAATGCTGTGCGAGAATTGTCCCTCCAGAATCTACTCCGTTTCCGTGGGCAGGATGATGCGCTCCGGCATCAAGAGCGCGAACTAATCGACGCCAATGCAGAATATATGGAAGAAGTCGAGGTGGGGGAAGGCGAGTCGGTTGAGGAGCTCAGAGAAATGCGTGAACAGATAGAAATAGCAATCTTCAATCTGGAAAACCGAATCCATCTGAAAGAACGCGAGAAACCGTGCGAACCCCGATCGTTCCAAGGGCTGATTTTTCGCCACGAAGCGAAGAAAATGCGGTGTGCGTTCTGCGAAGCACGCGGAGCACATTATAGCGATTCTTGTCCTGCCGTAAGAGATGGTGAGAGTCGCCGAGCCGCAGCAAACAGGAGCAACCGATGCTATCTTTGTCTCGACTGGTGGTGTGCGCGGGGAGTATTATGTTCAAAATACGGCAATCGGTGTTTCCATTGCGGAAAATCAGATCATCATTCCGCATTATGCTGTGCGCCCGACCTAGCCCATGAGATGGAAATCGAAATCGATGGTCTAAAGGAAGAACTTCTGGAAATGCAAAGGCAACGCAACGAACTTCAGATAAAAATCGACCAGCTCATCCAGGGTCACTAAACTCTCTTGAGGCGGGAGTATCGCTGTCAGCGAGAACAAAAAATGGTTTAGCGATGTTAGCGCAAGAGACAGGCAAAAGGAGTTGACTCATTAACACGTGCACATTTACTTAAATAGCAAAAGAAGGTTGTTACAGAAGCGCCAGCTGTTGACGGCGCATAAAAGGGGGACTGTCGTTAACAAGTCGCTTTTCTTAGCCTTCTGCTTCCTTCCATTGCTTCGGTCCTCTACATATCTTAATTCTTCGTTCATTGCATTTATTTTGTAGTCCAGTCATTGAGTTGTGCTTGAATTGAAGATTGTTGATAGCAATAAAAGTAGCTTGGGAAGGAGTACCGTTCAATACGCGTGGCAGGAGAGGAGAAGCAAATTTATAAGTAACGTTAATAAGCGACGACCATCAAAATACTATAGACCTCCACGTTTCTCACGTTTCCGTTCCCTTACGCCAGAGAACACGTTTAAAGATCCAACACCCGACAACAAAATCGACACCAGTGGCGAGGCTCGTCACTGTCGCCAAGTAGACTCAACCAAAAAGAACAACGCCGCCGTAGAAACTCTTCACCAATCAAGCTCATGAAAACGTTAGTTCACCATTCAGGCAGGCCCAACACATAAACGACTCACCAGTAAGACAACAATCAACACATTAGTAAATCCCACTAAGGCTACCCAAACGAATACCAGCGAACAGAGTCAAATGCGCTCCATTACCATATACTCCCAACACAATGCATATCAATTACCAAACAGCTGTTCATCCACTCCCCAACTTTTCCACACAACAAGTAAAGCCCAATTTTTCCAAAAAAAAGCAAACAGCAAAACCAATATCAAAGCTCGATTAATGGTTGTACCACCGAGAGCCAGAAATGAAAATAATAACAGCGAAGAACAAGTTTACGCTCTCGTGGACTCAGCATCTGATCAATCCTTTATATCATTACCGTTAGCAGAACGGCTCCAGCTCATACCCCACTTCGAAACCACCATTATTGTCAACACATTTGGTGGCCACGCAGAAAAGAAGCATGTAACATGCGTCGAAACACTCTTAGTTAATTCTCAGGAACAATCGCTACTTACACACGAGTCAAAGTCAAACTACTTACACATGACATAACACACCCCTTAACCATATTAGACTTACAAGCAGAAGATAAAGCCTTCCTGGAAGACAAATTTCCCAACAATCGAGACATATGAGACATATGGTTACAAGATTCGACAGTAGAAGTTAACCCCGACATCCTTCTGGGAATAGACTACTCCAACAATATATTACAAACAAACGAACCCATAATACGACTACCTTCGGGGTTATTTATGACTCCAACCTTTTTTGGTCCAGTGATTTCCGGAACGACAACCACGAGCGACACAGAACCTCAACACTTTTACGACCACATTATCCGCACTTATACCACTCAGGGTTCGTATGAACACTCTAACCTAGACTACTCCGATCTATGGAAAATTCCAGGCGTAGGCATAGATGAACTCCAGACAAATGAAGAACTCAATAGACAAACAATTACAAACTTCTACTTCACCGTTCAAAACAGAAACGGAACAATTAAATACAATAAACATAACATTAACATAATACAATTGGAAAACAAACAAACATCACCTAGCCGACAATTACAACTTAGCACTAAGTCGACTGCACCAACTATACAAAATGAAAGTCAAAAACCCAAAGTGTTGGGAAGATTACTGCAATATTATAGAAGAACAATTAGAAAAGGGCTTCGTAGAAGAAGCCCCTTACGTGACAAGCGCGATCAACCCCACTTACTACATACCACACCAAGCAGTAATAAAGGCATCAAGCGTGACAACTAAAAAAGCGAATAGTCCTCGATGTCTCTTCCAAAATGAAAGGACAACTGAGCCTTAACGATGTAATACACCAAGGGCCACTGATTCTTCCAAACTTATGCGGTATACTTTTACGAGCCCGACTGGGTCCACTAATTATGCTTACTGACGTGAAGAGAGCATCCACATGATATACCTCCGAGAATCCGAAAGAGACTCTGTGAGATTTTTCCGGCTCAAAAACGTCAATCGACCTCCAACTCAGGACAATGTACAACTCTACGATTTTGTCGTCTACCCTTCGGAAAACGCTTCACCATTTCTTCTTGGAATATCCATTCAATATGGAATTGAACAGCAAAAACATCAAGGTAACACCATCACCCAGCGACTTATTGAGAACGTATACGTAGACAACGTCCTTATGCTCGACTGTTCAACAGAATCTCTTTTTGCCACCTACCACGTGTGCAAGAAAATATTCTCAAACATATCAATGAATCTTCGCCAATTCATTACAATGACGCAGATTGTAACAAATCAATAGATGATAAGGACAAATCCACTTCACAAACAACCAAAATATTAAGCACCAGATTAGTCCCCCGTCAACCGCCGGGACCTTCCTTTCCTGAGCAAGCTTTTTATCCTCCGCTATGGTCCCTTCCTCCTGTGACACCAACACCTCGTGGAAGTGACGCGTATGCAACACAATGGTGTTTCAAACAGTAGAAGGGACACAATCATGATGTGACGGTAGATTTTTCGCTTCCCTTCCTCATCCTACCTTCCTCTCTCCACTGCCCTCCAGCTGCCACTGCAGCACCATGTGGAATGAACGGAAGTGTGCTAAGCAGGTGTTTATATAGCCCTTAAGAGTGTTATCACAACTATCCTGCTACAAAACATTGATATCTCTATCCTGTAAGCTACCCGATTTTATATTGTTTATCCCATGAGCTCCCTTCTCACTCACTTCATTTTGCGGACGGACACACACACACACAGCACTACACCACACAATACAGATACACAAACCGACACACAAAGTTAGCGCTTTAATATAATAGAAGGATTCCCTGAATCACTCGACTGATACTCTTTCCATTTTGTGCAAACTCAACTACAAACCAAACCCAACTAAACGGAAAGTCTCACAATCAGCACACTTTACCTTTGACCCGCTTGGTCTTCTGACACCTCTACTGCTGCCCGCCAAAATTTTCCTGCAAGATCTCTGGAAACACATGCGCGATTGGGATTAACCATTACCAGAAACAAACAATAACACATAGAAAACAATTTGCGAACAGGCAGATGGCTTTACTGTGCACCTTCCACGAACGATTGTAAAGAACTACACAGGAATTCGATACGAGCTTCACACCTACGTAGACGCATCAGCTCGTGCTTATGCCACCTGCGGTCAACAAACAGCAAATATACATTACAAGCTCGATCCTAATGGCCCGACAACGTCTAGCACCAATCCACACAAAACCAAAAACAATGACAATCCCCAGATTAAAACTTCTCGCACTCTTAATTGGAGTCCCACTCACGAACTTCCTACTAAAAGAACTCAAGATAAACATAGAAACCAATCTACAGCGATTCACAAGTAGCTCTGCACTGGGTACAATCCCAGACAAAAAACAGACCATTCGTGGATAATCGTTGCACAGAAACCAGACAAAAAATACAATCATGGTCACAAGAACATGTCATACAAAGCTACTTACATTACGGTCCCTCCGATAATAATCCCGCAGATTGCGCAACAAAAAGGCTCACAAAGGACCAAGTGCACCTGCACCGCTGGTGGTCAGGACCATCCTTCCTGCGAGATGACCAAACAGAATGGCCATCACTTCTCGAATTCTCTTGGCACTCTAAAGAAGACCAACCTCCTAAACAAGAAAAGGTATTCTACACAAACCTATCCGCGTCCACACCACCCATCATCCCTTCCGAACCATGTTCTCTCAATCTACTCAAAAACTTCAGTTCCCTTAACTCCCTACGACACGTGACAGCTCTCGTTTTAAAGTTTCTAAAGTGTATATCTATGACAAACTCCCTGACGACACTAAAGATACACTCACAACAAGCGCACCAGAACTTCAACCAAACCAATTTCACTTCCTCAAGCTCAAGATATCAAGATGGCCGTACAGCTCCTGCTTAAGCTCACGCAACGCAGTTTAACGAAGGAACATCATCGCAAATGGAATCACTTGGCTCTATACAAGGATGAGAATGGCGTCATCAGATGCCGGGGTCGCATATACAATCCGAGTACCTCACAAGAGATGCTCGAGAGTCAATTCTTTTACTCCAAGATCAACCTCTGACTGCACTAATCATACAAGACACCCATTGCCGTTGCGGTCATCAAGGTGTTAATGGAAGTTTAGCCAACTTACGCCTTATGTATTGGATACCCAGAGGCAGACAAATTGTACGAAAGATCCTACGAAAATGCCTTCCACGTAAACGATGGAACGGAGAGCCTTATTACCACCCTATATCTCCTCCTCTACCATCCGCACGTTTGCAACCAACACGACCCTTTTCCCACATCGGTATAGACCTTGCCGGTTCGAACCAAATAACCGGCTCTGAACAGAACACCAGCAAGAGGTGGATATGTCTCTTCACTTGCATGACAACACGAGCTATACACCTAGATATAGTCAACGACTTCAAAGGGCTCCAAATTGTCAATGTACTGAGACGATTCATCTCTCGTCGAGGAACACCACAACTCATCATATCAGACAACGAACTTCAGACTTGCTAACGATATACTAGCTTCATCTGATAGCGGAAATTACCCGCAAGACAAGACTTTGCAAGCTTTTCTAGCCAACGAGAAAATGCATTGGAAATTCATAACACCACTCTCCCCCTGGAAAGGTGGATTCCACGAGCGTATGATTGGCATCATAAAATCAACCTTGAAACGATTTTTCATACATAAAATACTAAATGACTGCAGCTTTAATACGATCATAACAGAATGCGAAGCAATGGTCAATTCACGACCACTCGACCACTCGCATATACTGGAAGCACAGCAGACGATTCCCTCATAATTCGTCCAATAGACTTTCTGGTACCTAACGCCAACCTTACCCCTTTTACGAGCTTCAACATAGAGTCAGATGAACACGACTCTCCATACTTACCTCGACTGACAACAAAAGACCATGCAATACAATGCTTCCACAAATAGCTAAACCACTTGAAACACCTGTGTAAGCTTTGGACCAAAACCTATCTTCTTGAACTATGAAACTTCCACCAACTTCGGATCAAACAAAACAGTTTCACAAGAAAACAACCACATATTGGAGAAGTCTTTCTCATTATGGACGAAGAAATTCCACGCACAAAGCGGCCATTAGGCCTTTCAACAAGTCTAATTAAAGATCAAGGTGGTACAGGGAGGTCGGTTGAATTGCAAACTTCCATACCAGAACTATATCGCTCAATCAACATATTAATTCACTTGAACTAGACGAAGGAACGTTGCCACAATCTTCTCAAAACAAGGTGTCGAATGCTGATAACGACACCGACCGCGATACGGGCGACGAACATGCCGACGCCAAGCTCCCTAATTCGCCAGAACTAGATACGAAAAACAGATTACGGTCGCGACCATTCCTTCCGCGAAAAGAAAAAACAATAAGACCTAAGTAACCGCACGGCGACAACGATAGCAAAATTCGCCGCACCCGTTTTTACTAATCCAGAGTTATGGAAACATTGGCTTACAATAGCTTTAACAATAATACCTTTCCAATGTGCACATTCACTATGCAATCAAAGAGCACATTAGCAATGCGCTGCCGGAGGAATTAACGTACAAACGCTTTAGCAAGCAGAACGAATGCAAGCTTGTGGAAACGACTATTGCATCGAAATAAAACAACCAGACCAAAATATGAATGTTTAATTCCCACCAGGAATTACTCTTCATACATACCACGTCACTCTCAAATCTCTCATCGGAAACGGACACGAGCGACGCACTGGGCTTGTCCTCCAAGCCCATTTTGTGAGCAAATCACGTTCAACTTCTGCACGCAAATAATTTCCAATCCAGAATGCTGGCCTAGGATCGCAATAGCCGTAACCGCAAAACTGCTCTATATGATCGCACTAACAACTTACGTCGGCATCATACTATTACCAAAAACTTCACGACTCCAGCACTCGCCGTTTGAAATCGAAAATTCACGCGAATAACGCGAATCCTCGTTAATTTCGTGAAGTCGTTATAACTCGGTTCAAAATTGAGCTTTCGAGAATCCGAAGATATCATTGACTCACTAGGGAAGGATGAAGGGTCGAAGTGGCCATATGAAATGAGACAAGTATCATGGTATGTGATTTTAGACGCTGATCTCGAATCTTCTTCCCAAATCTGCCAAACAATTCGCTGAACGGAGTCACGGAGATTTTTTGTTCCCTCACACAGTTTAACATAGTGAGAAACGAGGCCTCAGCAGCAGCGGCTTGTGAAGGAAGCAGTGAGTGTTTGTTATCGAGTGTTGGTGGCCTAGTGGTTAAGGTGGTGGGCTTGGGATTTCGGGGTCAGTGGTTCGGATCCGCCCCTTGTTTCCCATTTTGCACTTTTGTGACTGGCTGTTTGGCAGTAGTGAAACATGATTCCTCCAACATTGGTCAGCCCTTACTTGCTTTTGAATGAGTCTGAGGTCGATAACTTCGAAATTTTTCCTAACTTGCATGCCACTACATAAGGTTAAGGCGCGCCAGTATACGGAGCGCGCGCTTCAGCAGTTTTTGAGTGAACGAATGTGAGATCTGATTCAAGTAGTCCAATAATTCCTGGGGCCGATTTCTAGAGAAATTCGAGATTTTAAATTAATCTCAAAAAGTGGTCGAGTCACTCATTGGTGCTACATATCCATAGACGGTAGTTCCAGGATTGACCTATTTTGGACGACGGCGACCCTTTAAATTTGAAAATAATAAAATGTGAGAGTTGAAATCATGCTGACAGAAAATCAGACACTGCTTTACACTCTTCAGAAAACAAAAAAAAACGTATATCGTTTCAAGGCTATGTAGGCTTCGATAATAGGCTGATGGATGAATTGGAACAGATCCACCCAGCCTATTTCGCAATTTGGTCGAAATCTCAAATTTTGCTACAAACTTGTCTCTAGGGGTATTTCAATCTCTAGAACACGAATATCACACCTGTTTGCTGCAAAAACGTCTGCCAAGAGCTCTGTGGGCTCCATGTGCAGTCTGTAGTGAGTACCGTAGAAACTGATTAGAAACTCTTCGCAAAGTCTTTGCACGGGTTACTACAGGCAAGCATTGATCGAGTAAGGTAGCTGGGAGCCTTTTCATCATTTTGCAGCGAAGGCAAAAAAGGGAACCCGTCAGGGAATCGATCCTACGACGTCTCGCACGTGAACCCGGACTACTACCGCTGCACCACTTTCCTTCATAACTCCATTCGGAAAACCGTTTGGCAGATTTGGAAAGCAGATTCGACATCAGCGTCCAAAAACGCATCCAACGGTGTAGGTCTCTTCACATATGGCCACTTCGACCAATCATCCATTTCTGGTCAGCTCTTCGGACACTGAAAATGCTTTGATACTTTGGAAAAGCTCCATATTGGATTGCGCCATGCACTCGATTTTCATCTCAAAAAGTAGTCGCTCGCAAGTGATGTGTATATAATCCCGCTTATGCGGGCTGACCGCTACACACAGAGAAGGGCCTCAAAACTTACCCTAGAATGCGCCACGTACTCAATCTCATCCATTACCGTGAGATTAGATGAATGTTATTTTCCGATTCTTAGATCTTCATTTCGTTTTTAAGCGCTTACTGGCTTTACGCGTTCCCTGTGCTCTCAATATCCCATCCTCTGCATATCAAGTGGGATCTTTGGACAGTTCTCAGCAGGCATAGTGAGCCTATTATGTGACGTTTTCCATTTTCCGAGGAGATGTTTTGCAGAAAGCTGTGAAGATAGCGAACAATTTCCTTAACTGTCGTAGACTATGGTCACTTGTCTGTAAGGATTATATGGAAGCCTTGGTTGCAGGTGAGCCTTTCTTCCGTAGGTGCGACCCCAAACATCACCCCTTGTCATGCCCTTGTGGAAACTTCAGATTTTTTGCATTCCCCGATGAACTCGCAGACCTAAAATGTGCCCCGTTAGCTTCCCCATGAAAAGCGCTATCGAATGATATGCATTACTCCCCACAGTTGAAACTTTGTTTTTTCACCGTTTTCTGCCTTCCCCTATTGCCGGATTACGCACTATCCTTCGATTACTGTCTCAAAATCTCAAAATTTCATTCTTCGTCGAAACTTTGCCTATTGAGGTGATTCGATGCCCTGATTACGGATATGACATTCATTTTTGATGCTGGTGTCATTTGGCGCCATTTGGCGCCGTTTGGAGCCAATTTGACGCCACGGCTGTTTCCACCGAATCCGCTGAAACGTGTGTATAGGGGTTATTTGGGGTCCTGATCACGACCATAGCATCCAGTCTTGACGCCGGCGCCATGTGGTGTCACAAACAACACTTCACAGTCAGAGCGTACTCTTAGGCACCTTTCTCGGTGCGCCGACAGTCAGACGTGGAAAAGGTCATCGAATCGGAGACTTTCCCACGAACCGTGGGAAACTGGGAGCTAAGCCAGAAGCATATTTCACGTTTTCACTGGAGATATGCCTGTATGCGTTGAGCAGAGCAGCAATTCGACTGTAAGCTCTCCAGCTGTCACTGAGGATGGTAGTACCGGGCCCGATGTACTACTTCATGGTGAGCCGCAGTAGAGCTGGACGTAAGCAAACCAGCCCTGTTGGCGCTTCGGCTGGGACCGTGTGCTGAATGTTGGGGAGGGGATGGAGTCTCCGACGGTAGACGGACCACCTCAACTCGGTCCTTGGAACCGACAAAATTTGGTGCTTACCTCAGAACTGAGCCTTAAAGAGAGGTCGGGTCCGTCTCCCCTCCAAGGCATAGTCTTGGGGTGAGCAAACCAGACCTTCTGGCGGAGCTGCTGAACCAGCTGCACCACTTGTGACAGTACTCTCCTATCGTACCAACCGAGTTGAAGTAAACCGTCGACCGCTGGGGTCCCATCCCCTACATCAACATTCATCATCATGGATGTTGGAAAACCCCAGAACAGGTCAGAAAGAGCGGGTAAATAATGGCAACACAATCGCTAGCATTACATGAAAGGCAACATGAGCAGGAGGCAGTCTTCGATTGGCGGAACCCATCCATAAGTTGAGAAGTAAAATGCTAAGATAATATCTGGTGTAATAGAGAGATAGACGAGCTTCCACCGAAAAGCAGCACTGTATCCCATCAATAAGCACCTGCATCAGCCGGCTGTGATGCCCTTCGCCACTTCGGGGTCATTGGGACTTGCCGAAACTCCGACACACGGGTATACCGGCCGCCCACGTGGAATCGGCAAGCTAGGTACATATTGGAGGAAACTTACGGGTCGCTAGACAGAGGAGAAACTGCAACATTACTGTAATTGAGTCCAGTATATTACTTAAGAAAAGAAGGAGAAAAGAAAGGGTTAAAAAGCCGGAGGAAAATCAATAGAATATGGTCCAGTAAAATACTACTTGCATCCTAATCCATTTCGACCAATCACATAACACATAAAGAACTGCAGTTCCAGAATTAACTATAGCACCAACTAAAATGACAACATAATAGCAATCACAAAAACTTTACTCAATTTGCAAATATCAAAGAGTCGACACAAGTCCGGTAACTCAAGCCATCATAAGCACACTTAGAGAGCGTATCCTGGAGACCAGCATCCGAGGAAAATACGTAAACTCCGAAGATGAGCTCGTGCTGAAGAAGGCATGGAACGCGATGCCCTTTGTACGCGAAGTGTCCCGGCTTCCACATCGTAACAGGCATCAACGAGAATAGTAGACCACTCTAGCACTTCCAGCGTCCATCGAGAAGACATCGAAACGAAATCGTGGACCACTTCAACACTACCATCGATGTCGACACTCAGGAAACAACACAAAAATCAACACTGCCCATCATAGGGGGATCTGTGAACAAACAGCTTCTGAAAAAGAAGAGCTTAAAAGCCATTGTCAACACCCAAGACCCGAAGTAAATCGATCTGCTTAGGCCTAGCCTTGGAAGTGTGGCTATTCTCAGACTTCATCAGTTCAATAGGCAGCAGCTGGAACCACCTGGCGACTCGGTATGGGAAGAAGTTGTAATGGAGAGAAGATATTGCTCTGCATTTTGGGGTAATGCAGAACAAAACCATTTCCTCTGTCACTACAAGGCCTAAAAACCCAGAACCTACTTGGGCTCACTTTAATTTTACCACGAAAAGTGAACACAAGGTCTGAAAAGTTCTTCTGTAATGCAAACTTTCTAGGTTGAACAGTTTTAATCGTTCGCCGTAGCTTGGCATACCTTCAGAACGGAAACCATAAACCCGAAAAAAAACCTAGTTACTACATGCTGAACTCTTTCGATCTTTCTTATGTCCGTTATGCGATTTGGACTCCAAATCTGGGAACAGTATTCTAAGTGAGGCAAAACATATGCCTTATAAAGACGAAGGTGTACCTCAGGTTTATTACTGTGGATGTTCCGAAATATACTGAAAAGTGAGGCATATGCTTTGTTAACGGCATGGTCAATTTGTGTAGAAAACTCTAGGTTGGAATCAAAAAATACGCCAAGATCTTTCACAGACTCAACTGTCCTTAGAGGAACACCGCTGACATCATAACTCATGGCGTTTCCAATGTGGAACACAGAACACTTACTCAAATTAACTGCTAAGTTGAGTTCCGGCGCCCAAATATTTAATTTTTCGACGGAAAGCTTCAAAGCTGAGCTGACCTCATCATGATTATCAGCATCATAAATGCCATACAATTTCACGTCGTCGGCATAGATTTTCACTTTGATGTGCTGTGATGTATTGAGGATTTGTGGTAGCTCAAGTTATATAGCAAAAACAGGAGGGGGATAAGACACCACTCTGAGGCACCCCACTACAACAGATGTGCCTTCCAGAAAAGCAGGAACCTACTCTGACAGTCATATGACGCAAAGACAAGTAAGATCTTAGCCATTTCAATGAACAACCTCCTATACCGAGTCTTCCCAGTTTCAGTAACAACGTGCGGTGGTTCACCCTATCAAATGCTTTGGATAAATCAACGTAAATTACATCGACCGATTTACCTTGATTTAAGGCAATACACCAATCAAGTAAACTGTCAACTAGAATAGTAGCTGCGCTCGCGCCAGGGAGAAATCCATGCTGTTCAGGTGGTATGATTTCAAATCTACGACAGCAGGACAACAACTTATTCATTATAACTCTCTCCATAACCTTCACAGGCGTAGGCGTAAACTTGTAGGTCTGAAATCGGAAACGGACCGGGCTTCAGGAACTTCAGGGATAGCAGTAACCAACGCCTCCTTCCAAATCTCAGGTACCTCACCCAACATAAGAGAGACGTTGAAAACATGAGCCAAGGGTTTAGAAAGCGACGAAGCGCACCTTCCAAATACAATTGGTGGGATGCCGTCATAAGATTCAGTGACAGAGGGCTTGAGGCGCTTTAGAAATGCAAAGATTTGGTAGGGTCAAAACAGAATTCTGGGCAGACGTACTGAAACGACTTCTCCCAACGAGGCACCTCAACAGCAGAGAAATCACCTCTGGAAAATGTACTCGCAAAAAACTTGCCCAGCGCTACTGCTTTACCTTCATCAGTGTAACATTTGCATCCTTTCTCAACAATTATGCGCGATAATCGGAAATTCGCATTCAATTTCCAATTTAGGTACACGTAAAGATGCTTTATAGAAGCATGGGATGCTAAGCGGTGCTCACGGTAAGCCAAAACTTTTTGAGATGATTGTTCAGATCTGAGCACACCTTCTTATAGCGCTCATCTAAGAGTGGGTTTGAGGAGCATCTAAAAATTCGCTGCTTTGGGATAGCAGATTCCGAATGTGGATGGGAAATTTCATGACAGAGCAAAAGCGATAACGCACCGGTACACATCGAGCTAGTTTATTATATAAAAACAGAAACGGAATCTATGATACATGTCAGACGCAGATTCGTAACCTTCAAAAACCCGCCACCAATCGACTTCATTAAAGCTATTGGATAAAGCAGTGTAATCCACTCGGAGAAAGTCAGGTTCAGGTAACAGTGTCTGAAAGGAGGCCAAGGGAGCTTCCACAAAAAAACTGTAGAATCGAGTGATCCGAAGTGGCGAGAGGGGAAAGTACGCTAACACTACTCACAATGGAAGAGGAAGTAAGAATCAAGTCCAGTGTTCTGTTCATATGAGTAGGTTTGTCAACAAGCTGTCTAAAACCAGAATGCATGAAAAAGCTCAGGTGCTCCCTGGAGGTCAAACATCAAACACACATTCGATCCAGTCAATATGCAAGTTAAAATCGCCCAGAATGATGGTATTCTGCTCCGAAGAAATCAGCGAGGACAGCACAGCTAGTAACTCTTCATCATCACTCTTAACACAATTCGGGGGTCGATAGGTTAAAACGAATCTATCTCGTGGCATAGTTGCACCCACTAACTCGACACACAAGAGATCAGCCTTCAACTCAGACAGATCAATGGGCACGCTACACAGAAGAAGATTGTTCTTAAATACACAGCAGACACCGCCGTCTTTACGCAGACCCTATCCAGGCGATTTACACTATATGGTAAAGCACAAATGATTTCCGAGTTTTTGATCTCAGCGTTAAGCCACGTTTCTGTTATAAAAACAACGTCAGGTTTCTTCTCAATCAAAAACAAATGAAGATGGTCTAGTTTATTAGAGAGACTCCGCGAATTAAGCAAAAAACATGAGAGGGAAACAGAGGGCCCATGCAGCTTTAGGCATTTCCCGAGTTCCTAGCAAATAACTCAGAAATGACTGCCCTCGATAAACCACCCACTCTCGACTAGCGCAACCATTGTTCTTATCATTTGCAATTTGCCTCAGCTCAAATTCCCACTTTCGCTCTTCCAGTGTCATGCTTTTCCTTACAAAAACTTCAGAAACGCCAGAATTGCGGAGATCGCGCGCATTTTTTAGAGCCTTACGCCAATGCGCAACAGTTGGCAGTACGACTCTGACTAACCTTGGCTTGGTGGTATCCAATTTACCCATGCGGTATGCTTCGCAAGGAGTACATTCTATATCGAGCGCGTCCAACAGCTCAGAGACTTTCGCCTCTAGCTGTTTTTGGCAAGACGATGGAGGAAGACTTTTTTCACTCTCTTTCACGCATGCAATCACAATACTACGGGATCGCTTTTCTTTCTCAAAGTAATCAGCGATATCTTTCGGCATTTTCTCGCGCAGCGCAGAAAGCAATTGCGCTACTATTGGGTCTTCCTTAATTTCCATTATATTTAGTAAAAGCTCTTTACCAGAGAGATGACTATAATCAATGGGGTTGGAGCAAAAAGTAGCACCAATACTTGAAGCGTTCACTTCAGGAACATCTGCACACACTTTCTTGTCGGATTCGACATCTGCAACATCATCCTTGCTATTCACAACATCTGCAACAACATTCATGTTTCTCTGACTGCGGGTCCTGACCATGGTTAATGAGGCGCGCCCAATATGGATCGATTGAATCGACTTTCAGAACACCTAGACGCGAGAAAAACGAGAAAATCAAACTAGGGGGTTAGCCGGAACAGCAGCAGAAAAGAAAACTGATATCAGAAACCCCACAAAGTTGATAAAAAGTATCTAAACAGCAAAAGTGAAGAAAAGCGTTGAAACCAGAAAGAAAACAGAAAATAAACTGACCGGTCAGAAACGCAGCCGCACCGCGCCGGCACACAAGGTAGAATATTGAATATTATTTTTGCAATACATCCCGCTCGTTTACTGTTAGGAAAATAGCGCGAGAAAGAGAAGCCCCTGCATTTTGCCTTCCTAGACTTGGAAAATGCTTTTGGTCGTGTCCCGCGTGGCTTAATATGGTACGCTTTGAGACGTTTCCAACAAACTTATTGAGTTCGCATGCTGAACTCGAGCCCAAAGAGCCGAGTGCGAATGTCAGCAGGCACCTCAATGGGATTTCCCATCTCTGATGGGCAACCAAGGCCCTGCATTACCCTCACTCCTTTCCGCTGTCGTCATGGATGCCGCCTAACGAGATCTTCAAAAACCGGTTCTGAGGACGCTTCTTCAAGCCGGAAACGTGATGAGCGCCTGCGATGACAAGCATTCACTCGAGCATCAAGTGCAAGCTGCAAGCTTGGTGCCATTGCCCAGCGATGTTCGGACTCAGGTTGAATGTCAAAAAGACCGAATACTTCACAAGCGACTCGAGCGAACTCGGTTCTGTAAGAATAAGCGGCACAGTGCTATCAAGTATCCACAGTACCACATTCAATTATCTTCGACCGCTGATTGCGTCAGGTGGTAGTATGGGTACTAAAGTGAATTCACGCGTAAGGGCTGCATGGTCCAGGTGGCGTCCTACGACGGTGTTTTCTGCGACAAGAAAATTCCATAACGCCTGGAACCGAAGATCTTTAGGGCTGTGTTAGGACTAGTGGCGCTGAGTGTCGGACATACCTGAGGAAATGGTAGCCTGCCCCGGTGTAATTAATACGAAAATGATGCCCTGGGCGGCTGGCGTGACGCGCTGAGATCGTATTTGCAATGATACCATACGAGACCATTCTGGTGTCGTTCCTATTGCTAATGAAATGCGGAAAGCTTCTTCATCTCGTATGGTCACGTGCACTGCGGAAATGGTGACAGTGTGCGTAAGATCTGCATTAATATAGACGGGCCTGAAAAGCGACCTAACGTACGCCCAAAGCAGCGCTGACTTTCTACGCTGCATGCGTACTTGAATTTAGAAGGTGTTCAGGCATTCAATCGAGAAAAGTGGCGTCAAATCGGAACGGCGGACCCTGCCATCAAGCGGGGCACACGCTAAAGAAAAAGAAGAAGAAGAAGCTAGCTTGGTTTGTCAGTTTGCATGCCTGATGTCATTTACAGGCAGAAGTGCCTGTCTGTTCGTTAATGTCCGTCCACAAAGTGAGCTGGTGAGGAAGCGAATGGAAGAAATAAACCACT